GCCGCCATGTTTGTAATGACTTATCATGAGAACAAACGTATTCACGTGACTTTAATAACATTTCTTACTCAATGGAAACACCGCAGTTGTGAAACTGTGTTTTTAGACATCAATAAAATATCGACAAAGTTTTGCGCACATTTGTAATGAAAACACAACTACTGACTTCAGATTTTAAATACTCTTTAGCTCGTTTTAGCTTTTAGCTAATGTGCTAATTTTAGCAGTTATTGTTTTGCTATATTTAAGTTTAGGGATTCAGTTTATTCAGCTCTGTTCAAAATTAGTTTTTAAAGAAAAGCACAGCTATTTTGTTTAAATATCTTTATTTGTGATTTTTATTTAAAAAAAGATTTCAGCTGTTTTTTTAGGAATTAAACAGGTAACGATGGGGTGGAGTTTTCCTCTCAGGTGTGTTTGTTTTCCTGCAGGATGGGCGTGGCCGTGTGCAGACACCTGCGACGGGTGGAGCGGGTGGTGCTGGGGTACCTGGAGGTCAGCGATCCACCTGAGGAGGTGACCCGGCTGAAGATCCTGGAGGTGCTGCAGAAAACGACCAGAGAGGCGTGGCCCCGGTCTGAACACACACACACTAACACACGCGCACACACACACACACACACACACACACACCATCTTGTTTCTTTGTGGCAGTGACGGGATTGCATCAAACTGACTGAGCTGTTTGACCTTTGACCTCAGGATGGCGTGTCGCGTGGACGCTCTCCTTCGTTGTTTGTTACGTCTGCTGGTCGACGTCTCGTCTGACTCCAGCCTCGACGACTCTGTGCGACAGCAGCTGCTGGATCAAAGCTCCGCCTCCATGCACCTGCTGGACGCCTGCTCACACGGACACGTTCAGGTGAGTCAGATCACTTCTTCACCTGCCGTACGATATAACTCATACAAACATGTAAAACAAATGCGTTTAAACAAGAAGTTGTTTTAGATGTTTTTATTAGAAACAAAAGTTTACATAAGTTATTTTACACAAAGTTTTACAAATGCCATAAATAAAAGATGAAGTAACAAAAATACATGAAAAATATAAAGTGAAACACTTTTGTATGAAGATTATAAATTAAATGAAAATTAAATATAAAAAGTCTTTATGTAAACTTTAAAATCAGCCTGTAGGTGGCGTTGTTGTTTCAGTATAATCAGCCTGCAGGTGGCGCTGTTGTTTCAGTAAAATCTGCCTGTAGATGGCGCTGTTGTTTCAGTAAAATGAACCTGCAGGTGGCGCTGTTGTTCAGTGTAAGAATTAAAGATGGTTTCTCTCCGCAGCGTCTCCTGCTGCAGGTGGACAGCAGCTGCTGCAGCGCCGAGGTTCTTCGTTGTCTGTCAACAGTGACAGCAGGGAGGTGACACACCTGGAACACCTGGAGGCGGAGCTCTGGGACAAAGACTTGTGTGGAAGTTTGAACAGGTCTGAATTTGTCAGGACCTCCTGGGTGTGCAGAGCCCTCAGTTCTGTTGGCTCCACAGACGGCGGTGCCATCGGGCCTACAGAACACGGACCGTTACTCCACAACCTTCATTTACTGAAAATGAGTTTATAAACAGATAAAAAGAATAAACATGCTAACAGTTTCCTACTGCTTCCAGTCTTTGTGCTAAGCTAAGCTAAAACATTCAGTCTGTTTATCAGAAATGTTTTATTAAAACAAAGTGACGCAGAACAGAAGAGCTCCCCCTGGTGGTCAGGAGGATGATCACCTGAAACAGATGTTACCTGACAGGTGAGTGAGTCCAGACTCCTCTGAGCCTCCTGACAGTCCCACAGCAAACCAGCCAGTCTGGAAATGAACACAGAACTTCACATTAAAAGCCTTTCTGTGTTGATTCTGGAGGCTTTTATTGTGAAAAGCTGCAGGTGTCACACCTGTCCACAGCTGTTTGGATCTTGGTGCTGAGCTGTTGGTACTCCTGACGTCCGCTCCTCAGAGCCACCTCCTCTTCATCCCTCCTCCTCCTCATCAGCTCCACCTCCTCCTGCAGCTTCCTGAGGTGCTGCGTCTCCTCAAGCAGACAGGTGGCGCCGTCCTGAAGTCTGAGCTGCAGAACGTCCACCTGGAGGAGACGGACCAATCAGAGCAGAGCTCTACCTGTCCTCTGACTGTTTACCTGTTCTCTTGTTGTTTACCTGTCCTCTGACTGTTTACCTGTCCTCTTGTTGTTTACCTGTCCTCTGGCCGTCTACCTGTCCTCTGGCCGTCTACCTGTCCTCTGGCCGTCTACCTGTCCTCTGACCGTTTACCTGTCCTCTGACCGTTTACCTGTCCTCTGACTGTTTACCTGTCCTCTGACCGTCTACCTGTCCTCTGACCGTTTACCTGTCCTCTGACCGTTTACCTGTCCTCTGACCGTTTACCTGTCCTCTGACCGTTTACCTGTCCTCTGACTGTTTACCTGTCCTCTGACCGTTTACCTGTCATCTGACTGTTTACCTGTCCTCTGACCGTCTACCTGTCCTCTGACCGTTTACCTGTCCTCTGACCGTTTACCTGTCCTCTGACCGTTTACCTGTCCTCTGACCGTTTACCTGTCCTCTGACC